CTGTGCGCTCCTGCAGGAAATGACCCCTGATTGTACTGCTCGCTGTCTTATCTCCCGATATATATTCATTCCTCCCGCAGACAGGCATGTCTTTCTTACAGTTAGCGCGGATTCGTTTTCGAAAGGACAGCCTCCCTTCCCCAAATTACCTAGTTTTCCGGAATGGTATTTTTCCAGATCGGGCTGCAAGAGCTTGCTGTGAAGATACGGCTGCTCTTTGTGGATCCGGAACTCAAGCTGCAGGGGGGGGAAGAGGAGGAAAGAATGTGACTCCTGTGCCACAGAAGAACATCAGAAGAACCCTGCCAGATCAGACCAGTCGTCCATCTAGTCCAGCCTCCTGTCTCACACAGTGTCCAACCACGTCCTCTGGAGGGCCAACAACAGGGCATAGAGGCCGAGGCCTTCATAAGAGCCCTGCTGGATCAGACCAGTGAGGGTCCATCTAGTCCAGCATCCTGTCTCACACAGCAGCCAACCACTTCCTCTGGACAGCCAACAACAGGGCACAGAGGTCGAGGCCTGCATAAGAACATCAGAAGAGCTCTGCTGGATCAGACCAGTGAGGGTCCATCTAGTACAGCCTCCTGTCTCACACAGTGGCCAACCAGTTCCTCCGGAGGGCCAACAACAGGGCATAGAGTCCGAGGCCTTCCCCTGACGAGAACCTAAGGAGAGCCCTGCTGGGTCAGACCAGTGAGGGTCCATCTAGTCCAGCATCCTGTCTCACACAGTGGCCAACCAGTTCCTCTGGAGGTTTAACAACAAGGCAGAGAGAATGAGACAGGAGGAGGAGGAGGAGGAGGAGGAGAATTTATTCCCTGCTCTTCACTACCCGAAGGTGACTCCGAGCAGTTTACAATCACCTTCCCTTCCAGTTTGGTCAGGTGTAGTGGTTAAGAGCGGAGAACCGGGTGTGATTCCCCACTCCTCCACATGCAGCTGCTGGGTGACCTTAGGTCAGTCTCAGTTCTCTCAGAGCTGTTCTCTCAAGAGCAGTTCTCTCAGGGCTCTCTCAGCCCCACCTACCGCACAGGTCTGTTCTGGGGACAGGAAGGGAAGGAGACTGTAAGCCACTTTGAGACTCCGAGTGAAGGGTGGGGTATAAATCCAATCTCTTCTCTTCCTCTCCCCACAACAGGCACCTTGTGAGGTAGGCTCAGAGGGAACTGGGATGGACCCAAGGTCACCCAGCCGGGAATCAGTTTGGTGTAGCGGTATAAATCCAATCTCTTCTTCTTCTTCAAACCCAGTTCTCCAGATTAGAGACCACCACTCTTAGCCGCTACACCAAACTAGCACTGTCCAATCACAGCAGATAAGTGGATGTCTGAAATGTGCCTGAACTAGAGTACAGTTCATATCCTGTTGCAAGCCACGGTCAAACCTTTAGTGCTCTGCAAGGATTGGGTCTAGATAAAATCAAGCCTGAACTCTCCCTAGAAGCTAAAATTACTAAACTGAGGCTATTGCACTTTGGACAAACTATCGGAGAAGACGATAATGCTAGGAGAAGTTGAAGGCAGCAGGAAAAGAGAAAATAGGGATGGACTCTACCTCAAAACCCTCCCCCCCAGCCCCCTGAATAATTAGAACATTTTTGCCATTGACTACAATGGCCCCATAGGATATAACGGAGCCAAACATTTTCAGGAATACCAAAAAAATTTGGGTACCCATAGAATACTGGTACTAGTATTCGGGTATATTTGGGAATCCCGAAAAAATTCACCTTTATTATACCCGAATCCAAACAAACCCAATTTTTTCCCCCTGCACTCCCCTAATGGACTCAGTCATCGTGGCCCTCAGTTTGAAAGACCTGAGCGAGGCTATTTAATGATGGGACGTTTTGGGGGACTTTAATTCACAGGGTTGCAAGGAGTCAGCAGCTACCTGTCCTCATTTAGCACACTCTCAAGGCTCTGAACTGCATCAACAACCGATTTAGGGGCTGATTTTCGTTCAGATTTCTCACCCGATCTTCCATTTCAAAAACGGCTCGCTACTAATGGATGAACACTTTTTAAGAAAATAAATATGCAACTAAGATGCAGCAGGGGAGACCTATCATCATCTGGAAAAGCTTATGGATCAGCGTTAACGGCAAATGGCATCCTGTTTCCACGCTAATGGGGATGCCAGCAGATGGCAGGAATGTTGCTCCCGTACCACAACTTTCTAATCTGCTTAAGGATTCATAGGCCTGTTTCTATTCATTAGCATGAACAGAACAGGGGAGGTTAAAAACGCTGCAGCTGATTTTCAAAGCCCCGGCCAAAGTACGCTATATGCTAAAATAGGATTACCCACGCTTTTTACTGGTTATCTGTTTAAGATTAGCTTTATTTTATCAAAGGAACAAATGTGCCTGGCCAAAACGTTGTCTACATTCACAACGTAAATCATGCAAGCTCTTACAGTGGTAAGCTGAAGAGTAAAAAAAATGGGGGCAAGTTTTAAAGAAAACATTACATGAAGTATCGTAAGAAATTATCAATGGCACACCCACGCAGCAGAAACATTTTCACGACAGAATGACTTAATGCTTTGGGGTTCACAAACATACAAACATTAAAATCTCACAGGTTTTGCTCTGTCTGCCGCCGATGTCGTTTGGAGAACCAGATGAAGCCCAAAATTGCTACCCTGAAAATGGAAAATATAAGGTTAATACCACACAGGAACACAGTGTTTGGAAACAGAAGGTCTTAAGAAAGCTTGCCAGAAGGAGAAACTCGACAGATTGGGTGTTTTACCTAAATTAAGGCCAGCAAGGCCTTGACATTTAAAAGAAACAACAATATTCATGTGCCACAGTTTCTGGGGGGCTTTTCTGGAGAGCTGACTATGTTATCAGGATTTAGTCTTGCAGATCACTCCATGCAATTAAAAGCGTGTATTTGGCAGCAGTAACTATTGCAGACAAAAGACTGCATGCAGCCGAATCTGAATCTGTTTCTGAGCTAGGCCTTACTATTGTCCAAAGCACAGCTGTCTCAGAATCATTTGGGCCTCTCTGCCTCTCCAAGAAGCACATAAGAGAGCTCATCTCTCCAGAAAGAAGCAGATCTTATTGCATCATGAAAAGATGGCCAGAAGACTGACTTATTGCCTTCACGGAGAACGAGACCCTTCAGAGGGCCACTCCAGGGGGAACATACAGTCTCAAGGTCCAGAGAAGACCCTAGCAGGACCTGCCCTGTTATGTCCACCAGAACACCTGCAATATGTACCGAATATGTAACACATGTAGTCACACGTGTGGTTACGTATGTTCAGGGTGGTGTAATGTAGGTGGAATGGACGATTAGTTGGAACACCCTATAAAAGGGAAGCCTTTACAACAGATGTTCCTCTTGGTAGAGGTGTCTCTGTTGGCCTTAGCGCGTTGTCATATACTTTATCTCTGTGTGTACATGCGGGAGATGGTAGCATTGTTCTCTTGCCTTTGGGAGAAGAGGAGGAGGAGGAGATTGGATTTATACCCTGCCCTTCACTACCCGAACGCGTCTCAGAGCGGCTCACAATCTTCTTTCCTTTCCCCTCCCCACAACAGACACCCTGTGAGGTAGGTGAGGCTGAGAGAGCTCTTTGGAGGACTGCCCTTGAGAGAACAGCTCTGAAAGAACTTATGACTTAACCCAAGGTCACACCAGCAGTTGCATGCGGAGGCGTGGGGAATCAAACCCGGTTCTCCCAGACTACAGCCCGCGCTCCTAACCACTACACCAAACTGGCTCTGGAAGGTGGACAGCGACTTGCTAGCATCTTTCTGTTCTGAATAAACTACGCGTAACTGAGAATCTGCTTCTGTGAATCTCTGGGTGAAAGGGGACAGTGGGAATATCCTCATGATGCATGATCCAGCTGCTCTCGGAGAGGGGCCAAATCCTCCTCTCTCTGACAGAGGCACTGTGTAATTTGACCTCTAAGAGAATTCCCCCTGGGTAGCAGTGTCAGCTGGGGGCCCACCCACGCAGATCACGCCTGCAAGGTAGGACAGCTCCAAAGAACGCCCAGACCCAATTTGTATGTAACACACTGGAATACAGAGCAAGCGCTTAATCTATAGACCATCATGGAACGACTTCTTTACACAGCGAGTTACTAAATGTGGAATACTCAGCCATATCTATAGACCACTTTGGATGGATCCAAGACCACCATGGAACTACTTCTTTACACGGCGAGTTACTAAATGTGGAATACTCAGCCAGAGGATGCCGTAATGGCCACAGGCACCGACAGCTTTGAAAGGGGGATAGATCGATTCATGGCAGAGAGGTGTTTCAGTGGCTACTACCATGACTAGAGGGAACCTCCACATTCAGAGGCCGTCAATGTCTGAATCACAGTGCCAGGAGGCAACATCCGGGGAAGGCCTCGGCCTCTCTGCCCTGGTGTTGGCCCTCCAGAGGAACTGGCTGGCCCCTGTGTGAGACGGGATGCTGGACTCAATGGACCTCAGTGGTCTGATCCAGCAGGGCTCTTCTGGTGTTCTTATCAGGGAAGGCCTCGGCCTCTCTGCCCTGTTGTTGGCCCTTCAGAGGAATTGGCTGGCCCCTGTGTGATGTTCTTATAAAGGCCTCGGCCTCTATGCCCTGTTGTTGGCCCTCCAGAGGAACTGGTTGGCCACTGTGTGAGACAGGATGATGGACCAGGTGGACCCTCACTGGTCTGATCCAGCAGGGCTCTTCTGATGTTCTTCTCAGGGGAAGATCTCAGCCTCTCTGCCCTGTTGTTGGCCCTCCAGAGGAACTGGCTGGCCCCTGTGTGAGACGGGATGCCGGACTAGATGGACCCTCACTGGTCTGATCCAGTAGACTCTTATATCCTTATGAGATGCTGCCTTCCCTCCTTTCAAGTGACACGTGAGGAGGCACATATCTCCTCTTGTGCCTCAGCTGACCCAGGGGGATCTAAGATGGGAAGCAGCAAGAGAACCTCATCTGTCCACAGCTGGCCGTGGATCCTGCAGGCAGAGGAAACACTGATGTAAGGTGTGGGGGAACTGCTCATCAGATTGAATACTTAGGCACACCACAAGTTCTCTCAAGCTCAGCTCTCCACCTGCAACCTGGGGACAGTAGTACTGGCCTAGTGAAGTAAGGTGTGGGGGAACTGTTCATCAGGTTGAATACTTAGGCACGCCTCAAGTTCTCTCAAGCTCAGCTCTCTACCTGCAACCTGGGGACAGTAGTACTGGCCTACCCAACAGCGCTGTTGTAGGAATTACAACACAATAATATAGCTAAAGGGGCTGCAGTGGCTCAGAGGTTAAGATGCTGAGTTGCAGACCGGAGGGTCGGTAGCTCGGCTGTTCAAGACCCGAGTGCCGCGTGACGGAGTGAGCTCCTGTCTCTGGCCTCAGTTCCTGCCAACCAGCAGTTCGAAAGCAAGAAACTGCAAGTAGATAAATAGGTGGGAAGGTAACAGCGTTTTGTGCGCCTCGGCATTTGTGCGCCTCGGCCACGTGACCACGGAGAAGTCTTCGGACAGCGCTGGCTCTTCGGCTTGGAAATGGAGATGAGCACCGCCCCCCAGAGTCGGATTCGACTGGCTTTCGAGCAAGGGAATCCTTTACCTTTAATAGAGCGAAGGCTGTTTGAACACGAAAGTGGTGGTGAAAACTGCCATTAGATTGCAGCCAATTTATGGAGACCCAGTATGGTTTTCAAGGCAAGAGATAAACAGAGGTGGTTTGCCATTTCCTGCCTCTGCACTGTGACACAGTAACCTCAGTAGTCCACACTGGTCTCCCATCCAAACACTGACCAAGGGCTGACCCCGTTTAGCTTCTGAGAACTGATGAGTGTGGGCCCATCCAGACCAGTGAAAACGCTCAAGCCTGCTATATAAATGCCAGTGTGTTTAAGCTGAATTTTTAAACTGCTATCAACTAGATTCTCTTTATAACCAGAGAAATAATGTTATGATGAAATAATTGCTATTGTTATTATTACTATGAGGACAACCTGATTCCATTCAGATTTGTTTTTATTCAGCTGGTCATTTTATTTATGTCTACGAGCATATTTATATTAACACCGCATTAAAATAATGCCTCTGTTCATAAAGTATGCTGGTATAGCCACCCACAAACACGCCCGCCCGCACTTAAACATAGCCGAACAGATTAGATATGCATGCTAGACAGAAAAAAAAGTTTGCTAGTTTTATTACACTTCATCCTTGTGTAAATATTTGCTAACGGCTTGTAAAACCAGAAATGAACACAAAAACAAATACCGTAACATAAAATAGAACGAGATGTCATGAAAACTGCGACTAAATAAATCGCCACTGGTAACAAAAAAAGTAAATACATCTGCTGTTGTTATAAATCACAACTGATAAACAATATATGGCACAGCAATTTATAACAGAAAGTCCATATCAGTAAATAAACCATACAGTATTTACTCAAATGCAAGACAAAGGGTTCTTTTGACCATGAGCCAGCAAAAAGAAAACAAAAGAAGTTATCTTAGATTCACATACAAGTTTCAGTTATGCCCAATACTAAATTTTCCCGTGCATATAACTTTTTTAAGGATGTTGTCTTACATGCAGGGCCGTCTCCCTTTCAAGTAAATACAGTATACATAAATCATAAGAGATACAGTATTTATTTACATAAAACATAACTATGCCACTTTTCCACCCAAACAGGACCCTCAATGAGTGAATATATCAAAATAAACATCAGCAAATAAAACATACTGCTGAATCATAACAAACGTGTCTAATAGCAATAAGTCATAGTAATTAGTGTCAAACGAACACATGCCAACAGAGCATACATACACTGTCCTGACTCCCAAAGCAATGCAAATATCAAACAAATGGCAACAATAAACCATCATTATCAAGGAAATTAACAAATGTCAAACATGTATTATGGATAAATGACATCATCAGAAATAATAAATCAGAAATAAACCTACATAAATCGTAAAACGGGTGCTTTCACACACACACTAAACAATGCACTTTCAGTACATTCCATGCACCTCGCAACTGGATTTTACTGTGTGAAATGGTGAAATCCACTTACAAACAGTTGCTGAAGTGGACTGGAACTGCATTATTGAGCATATGCGGGGGGAAAATGGGGCCGCCAAATCTGATTTGGGAGATTCCTGGAGATTCGGGGAGGAGCCAGGGGTGGGCAGGGGTCGAAGAAGGGGAAGAAGAACCTCAGTGGGCTGAGCCTAGGGTTGCCACCAGTGTTCCCTCTAAGCTGAGTTAGTGTGAGCTAGCTCACAGTCTTTTAGCCTCCAGCTCACACATTTTTGTCTTCACTCAGGAAAGATGGCTCCAGAGCAAACCAATTTTATGCAGCAGCCTAACTACCTGCTCACAACTTTAATGCCAGTAGCTCACAAAATAGAATTTCTGCTCACAGGACTCCACAGCTTAGAGGGAGCATTGGTTGCCACTCCTGGAGATTTTGGCAGTGGAGTTCAGGGTATAGGGAGAGGCCTCAATAAGATCAAATGGTATAGAGTTTATCCTCCAAAGCTTGTGTTTTTTTTCCAAGGGGCTTCATCTCTGTGGCCTGGGGATCAGTTGCAATTCCGTCCCCACCTGGAGGTAGGAAAAAATACAACACCACATAAAGTCAACAATGATAACAATAATGACATTGACAACTGACACCCTGTTATATCCAACATATATTAGGTAAAGGTAAAGGTCTCCCTTGCTCGAAAGCCAGTCGAATCCGACTCTAGGGTTGCGGCGCTCATCTCCGTGTCAAAGCCGAAGAGGCAGCGCTGTCCGAAAACGTTTCCGTGGTCATGTGGCCGGCAGGACTCAACACCAAGGCGCACGGAACGCTGTTCCCTTCCCACCGAAGTGGTACCTATTCACCTACTTGCAATGTCTTGCTTTCGAACTGCTAGGTGGGCAGGAGCTGGAACTAGAGACGGGAGCTCACTCCGTCATGCGGCACACTCGGGTCTCGAACTGCTGAACGACCGACCTTCCACAGCCTGCAGTTCAGCGTCTTAACCACTTGAGCCACCGCAGCTCCTTAAGGAAGTAGTAAAAGGGTCTAATACAAAAATTAACGTTGCATTTTCTCATAATTTTTGTGTCCCCCCCCTCCCCCCGGAAATCCTGGTCTCCCCGGCCCATGTTTTTACAATTTCTATAAAGTTTACATCTTTTTTTGCTACTTCTACTTGGGAGGCAAAGGATCCGGCGATACTCTGGGGATCGGCTTCTGAACCCTCCATTCCAATGCTGGAAAAGCCAGCCTCTTCTAAGCTGATGAGGTCCCGCGCAGATCGGGATGGGGCAGGGGTCGAAGAGCTGCCGAGCAAGAGCCCCACCCATTTTATAAAAAAAACACTTGGTGGGCACCATGGTAAGTGTCTGTGGACATTGTGTTGGGGATCCATGCCGTGACCCGACTGGCTTTCCATGAAAGGACTTTCTCTAGTTTGGTGTAGTGGAAAGAACCGGGTTTGATTCCCCACTCCTCCACAAGCAGCCAGCTGGGTGACCTTGGGCCAGTCACAGTTATCTCAGAGCAGTTCTCGAAAGAGCTCTTTCAGCCCCACCTACCTCACAGGGTGTTTATTGTCGGGAGACAAAGGGAAGGAGATTGTAAACCGCTCTGAGACTCTGAGTGAAGGGTGGGGTATAAATCCAATCTCTTCTTCTCCTTCAATGGACTACGAGCTGATGGGAGACTGCCATCTGTACTACACTGCCCCACCTACCTCACAGGGTTGGGAGGAGGGGAAGGGAAGGAGATTCTAAGCTGCTCTGAGACTCCAAATGAAGGGCGGGGTATAAATCCAATCTCTTCTTCTTCTCTGCCACTGAGTGGACTCTAATCTGGAGAACCGGGTTTGATTCCCCACTCCAACTCCACATAGAGCTGCTGCTGTGACCTTGGATTTGGTGTAGTTTGATTCCCCACTCCTCCACTTGCACCTGGCTGGATGCCCTTGGGCAAGCCATAGTTCTGGCACAGCTGTTCTTGAAAAAGAGCAGTCCTCGAAAGAGCTCTCTCAACCCCGCCTACCACACAGGGTGCCTGTTGTGGGGAGGGGAAGGGAAAGGAGTTTGTAAACCACTATGAGACTCCTTCGGGTACTGAAGGGCGGGGTATAAATCCAATTTCTTCTTCTCGGGTCACTCCCAGTTCTTTCAGAATGTTCTCTCAAGAGCAGTTTTCAAAGGAACTCTCTCCAACCCACCTACCTCACAGGGTGTCTGTTGTGGGGAGGGGGAAGGAGATTGTAAGATGCTCTGAGATTCCAAGTGAAAGGCAGGATATAGATCCAATCTCCTTCTTTCTCTCAGAGACGTTCTCTCAAGGGCAGTTCTCTCAGCTCTCAGCCCCACCTAACTCACAGGGTGTCTGTTGAGGGGAGGGGAAGGAGATCGTAAGCTGCTCTGAAACTCCTTCATGTAGTGAAGGGCGGGATGCAAACCCAATCTCTTCTTCTTCCTCTCAGAGCCGTTCTCTCAAGAGCAGTCCTCGAAAGAGCTCTCTCACCCCCACCTACCTCACAGGGTGTCTGTTGTGGGGAGGGGAAGGGAGTTTGTAAGCCGCTCTGAGACTCTTGAGTGAAGGATGGGGTATCAATCCAAGCTCTTCTTCTTCATCTTCTATGCTTATTCTGCCTTGGAAATTGACTTTTTGGAATTTTTAATATATTATTGGACATAACAGTGTGTCAGTTGTCAATGTTATTATTGCCATAACTGTTTCTCAGCTTGACATGGCGTTGTATTTTCCCAGTCTTCCGGTTCACCGTGGTCCCTTTCAGTAGAGCCCCCACCTGGAGGTTGGCAACCGTGCGGAAAAGCCCAATTCCAGACAGATGCATGCTAAGAAAACCAAACAGACAGTCAACAACACAAGAAGGACGGCCAGTTAACAAAGGTGTCCGTTGCAAAGCATCATGGGAAAAGAGACTTGACATTTGACAAATACAGAGATGAATGGGGAGCGGAGGGGGAGCTCCAAAACAAAGAGATGGGAAAAGGTCGAGGCGGTGGGGGGGATTCAGCGGCCCCTCGCCCCCTTACCGAGACCCCATGCCCCGCCCGGCTGCCCACCGAGGGGCGGCATTTGCTCGGCACCATGGAAACGGGCGGCACCGCGCGCGGCCACTCGCCGCCTCAGCCCGCGCGCCGGAAGCCGCCGGGCAGTTGCCGGGGCAACCGTCTCTTCCGAAAGCACGCTCCTTCCCTGTGCGCATGCCCAATCCATCCGCCAGCCCGTCCTAACCCGCGTGCGCGCGTGCGTACACACATTCTCCCAAAACGTTCCTTCTGTGAGGGGGGGGGAAGCCGGGCGGGGATTTAGGGGAAGGGCGTGACCCGGAGGCCCCGCCCTTCAGCCGTTCGCGACGAGCTTGTAAAACCACTCCCCCTCAAAGAGAGTGCGCTCAATCGCGGCTTCCCAACACTTCAGGTTCCGCATTGGCTCATGAGTGCCAATTGGTTTTCTTTCGGTGACTGCGTTTGTACCCCCGCTTTCCTCCCCAATTTTATTTCGCTTTCTTCATTGGTTCCTCATTTTTCTCCCCAAAGGGAACCCAAAAAGGCTTACGTCATTCTCCCTCCATTGTATCCTCACAACAGCCTGGCGAGGTAGGCTAGGCTGAGAGGGGGGAAAGTAAAACTAAAAAAAATGAGAGACCACGGAGTGGAATGACAGCCCCAGGGTGTAGCAGGAGTGTTCAGGGACTCAGGCAGAGTGTGACACAGAAAGGGAACATGGAGGTAAGGAATTCAGTAGAACTGGACATTGGAACTGGTAGAGGTACAACGGCAAGATTCATAGCTGACAATGGAGGAGGAGGCCCACATGGAAAAGGGTAAAAGTCGGATCTACATGGATCCTCATGAATTCATATGATTTTTACATTGAAACGAAATAAAACCACCATCATATTGTAGGCCATGTGTTAGTCTATAGGGGGCACCACAAAAATCACGCTCCCACAGATTCGTGGCACCACAACAGCGCAAAAACATGATTCCAAAGGATGGATCCTCATGAATTCATATGATTTCTACGTTGAAATGAAATAAAACCAACATCATCGTGTAAGACCATGTCTTAGACTATAGGCAGCACTCCAAAAATCATCCCTCCAGGAATTTGTGGCACCACAAAACTGCAAAAACATGGTTCCAAAGCACGGATCCTCATGGATCCTCAGGGTTTTTCAATTGGGTCACCCGAAACACACCATCAAATCACATAACATGTCCACGGCCACAGCTTGCACCACAAAAATCAGAGATCCACATCTTTGTGGTGACACCATTCTGTAAAAACATGATTCTGAAGCACGGATCCTCATGAATACTTGGGTTTTTTGTGTTGCGACACCCCAAACATACCATTAAATCCCATATCATGGCCATGGCCACAGCCCACACCACAGAAATCACGGTGCCACGGCTCTGTGGCAACACCATGCTGCAAAAACATGGTTTGGGGAGAAAAATGAGGAACCAATGAAGAAAGCGAAATAAAAACAGAATAATTGCCTCGGAGATCTTATGCGGTCGAACGCAGTTTCAAATCAAATCAAAGTACGGATGCAGTTAACTAGAGCTCTTTATTTTAACTGATGTGAACTTGAGACAGTGTAGCCGTCCGATTGTGTAAACGAGGATTTTATTCAACCCCAAGGAGCAAGTACAATTATTATTACATCACGATTAGATTTATAGCCTTCACCTTTGGAGCTTGTTCAAGATGGGTAGCCATGTTAGTCTGTCCGGTAAGAGCCCGGTAGCACCTTAAAGACTATCACAATTTGTAGCAGGGGATGAGCTTTCGTGAGTCACTGCTCAATTCTTCATTCCAGCTGCATTTGAAGAAGTGAGCCGTGACTCACAAAGGCTCATCCCCTGCTACAAATTTTGTTAGACTTTACGGGGCTCCTGGACTCTTGGCTCTTTTATACCACTTGGAGTTTGTGTATAAGTTCTGATGAAAGATCCATTCTGCAGCGTTCTAAAGTGTGGAGGGGGACAGGGAAATAAGTGACCAGATGGCTTTTCAAAAACCAAGCTGTTCTAGAGCCTTCCATGGAGATAGATCAAGTTGGGTCGCTGTGTTAGGCTGTCTGTAGCGGTAAAAAACAGCAAGAGTCCAGTCGCACCTTACAGACTAACGAAGTATGTGGCGGGGGAGGAGCTTTCGTGAGTTACTGCTCACCTCTTCAGGTGTCTGAAGAAATGAACAGCGACTCCCAAAATCTCCTATCCTGCCACATATTTTGTTAGTCTGTAAGGTGTGACTGGACTCTTGCTCTTTTCTGCTGTTCTAGGGCCAGCTCTCTCTGCACGTTCACCTACACACAAGTCCTGCTAAAGTGAACAGGGAAATCAAAAGACCTCGTAGGGCTCCTGTTCTTTGCAATGTGGGTCACGCAGAGGACGGCTGTCCAGTGGAGAATCCCAAAGCTATGGGTGCGGAATTCGAATTTCTCCCCTTCACCATAAACCTTACTGAAAGGATGACGACTTTTAAAAATAGCAAAGTCTGAACTAGATCACGACCTGTTCCGTGTCGAAAGCAGGGCTTGTGTGTTAACAGAAACGGAGAATGCGGGCAAAAGTAGCCAACTCCTGCCTCCCACCTCCTCTTCACTTGAACAACTATTCTCCAATCTCACCTCTTATACTGGCGGGCAGGCTGGAAGATGTTCCAAAGGCCCTGGAGGACAAGGGAATAATCATAACCGCCTCCCCACATTTTAGACACAAAGAGGTGGAGACATATATGAACTCTGCCCTGCTCCATACCCCAGTCATGTCGAGTTTGGCAGTAATATGCATAAACTGAGGGTGTCTACTGTGATCAGGTGAGCCTGCCCATGAACATGGTCCAGACTCAGGGCACTTAGTAGTCATGGGCCAAAAAAAGTCACATTTTGAGGATAATTTTGAACACATCAGCTGTCAACGGGGCTCACAAATGCTGCAGTTTTCTGTCACCTGAAACGAGAAACTTGGGGGGTTTTGTCCTACTACATGAAGCAATTTTCCTGTGCAGCTTCACAGCTTTTTATTTATCGACGGACTTTTGTTTTACTACCTTTCAGATAGGAGATTTGCAAGTTGGTTCACATTTTGGCAGATGCGTGCCAGTTGGCCGAGATACATCTAAATAAGGTCCCGGGGGGAGTTCACAATATTTCAGAGGCATCAGCTACGGATTTGTTTTTCTGAACGTCCCAAGAGCTTGCAAGAGGTACCACGGCATTAGACGACGGCTTCATTCCAAGGCTGCAAGCCTATGCATACTTACACAAAAGTAAGCATCACTGAATTCTGCGGGGCTTACATCCAAGGAAACGGGCTCAGTCGCCCGTTGATATTCAAGTGCGTTCTCAAGTGGGCAAGGATTAGAATTCTTCTTCTGCACGGAGCGTCCGCGATTCTTTCAACTTCATTAGTTTTTCAACGGCAGAAGGGACTGAAATTTCTCCATGTATTTTGTTGTCTCTCGTCCGGACGTTCACGGCGCGGTTTGCTTTTTCCTTTTCCCCAACCACTGCCAAAAAAAAAAAGGACTCAGAACCTCAGTATTTGGTGTGATACCTTCATTCACACGCATCTGACTACCATTGGGACAGCTGGATAACAAAGTAACAGCACAATAAGAATTTTTGGGTTTAGTTGTCAAGATGCAGCCGACTTAAGCAACCCTGCTGGGTTCTCAAGGCAAGAGACATTCAGAAGTGGTTTGCCACTGCCTGCCTCTGTGTAGCAACTCTAGTCTTCCCAGGCGGTCTCCCATCCAAATACAGACCAGGGACGACCCTGCTTAGGTTACAAGATCGGGCTAGCTTGGGCTATCCAAATGATGGCAGCGGCGGCAGCGGCAGAAGGGATTTGTACCCTGCCCTTCACTACCCGAAGGAGTCTCAGAGCGGCTCACAAACTCCTTTCCCTTTCCCTCCCCACAACAAAAGAGGAGAAGAAGAGATTGGATTTATTCCCCGCCCTTCACTACCCGAAGGAGTCTCAGAGCGGCTCACAAACTCCTTTCCCTTCCCCTCCCCACAACAGACACCCTGTGAGGTAAAAGAATACCCGCCCTTCAAGTCTCAGAGCGGCTCACAAACTCCTTTCCCTTCCCCTCCCCACAACAGACACCCTGTGAGGTAAAAGAAGAAGAAGAGATTGGATTTATACCCCGCCCTTCACTACCCGAAGGAGTCTCAGAGCGGCTCACAAACTCCTTTCCCTTCCCCTCCCCACAACAGACACCCTGTGAGGTAGAAGAACAAGAAGAGATTGGATTTATTCCCCGCCCTTCACTACCCAAAGGAGTCTCAGAGCGGCTCACAAACTCCTTTCCCTTCCCCTCCCCACAACAGACACCCTCTGCGGTAAAAGAAGAAGAAGAGATTGGATTTATTCCCCGCCCTTCACTACCCGAAGGAGTCTCAGAGCGGCTCACAAACTCCTTTCCCTTCCCCTCCCCACAACAGACACCCTATGAGGTAAAAGAAGAAGAAGAGATTGGATTTATACCCCGCCCTTCACTACACGAAGGAGGCTCGGAGTGGCTCACAAACTCCTTTCCCTTCCCCTCCCCACAACAGACACCCAGGGAGGTCGGTGGGGCTGAGAGAGCTCTCTTGAGGACTGCCCTTAAGAGAACAGCTCTGAGAGGACTTGTGATTCACGCCAGCAGCTGCAAGTGGAGGAGTGGGGAACCAAACCCGGTTCTCCCAGATTAGAATCCGCACTCGAAACCACTATGCCCAACCCAACTGAAGAGTAATTAATGAACAATAGCCCTAGTGTAAGAAAGTAACCCGTCTTTCATTAAAACGATTGCACCATCCAGTTTACAAAATGAACATCTTACATTATTTCAGTCACGTATGCCGTCTTGGCGTTGGGGAGGGTGGAGACCCAGCAAAGCCCCTTCTCTTAACCCACAAAAACCAACTGCACTCTCTGCTCGCATAAGCAGTTTTGGAGTTCTCCTTCGATAAAGAAAGGTGGATTATCAAGAGAACAGCTTAAGTAGTTACACATACCGAAAATAAAATTATATTGAGCCAGTTGGGCATTTCTTATTTTCTTGTTTAACGTGCAACTCTGGTCTAGGTCCACGTCAGCCATGAAGCCGGCATCGAAAAAGTCACTGCAGATCTAAAGAGGGGGGGGGAGATGGGGGTAATATCCTCATTTGATCCACATCATCATGCGTATACAAAAACTACTGCTTGGTAGAGCGATCCAAGCTTCCCGTGCTCAAGGAATCCCCTTTTGTCTGCCATCAAACTCCTCCAGGTTGCAAGGAGCTATGGAATGCAGTCAGAAGAGCACACTTCATATGTAAGGGTCGCCCAGGAATATACTTGGAGAGATGATCCTGAAAGATAGGTGGTTCCTAAGTCACAAACAGCTTTATCGGTCATAACCAGGACCATTAAGTCCGGTGGAATACGTGAATTGAAACAAACTCCAGATAGTAAGTAAGCCTCAGCACTTGCACCAGCGCAAGTTTCCAGACTGTCTCCAAGGGCCGCCCCACGTACAACATGTTACAGTAGTCCAACCTTCAAGTTACTGTAGCACGAAACAGAGTGGCCAGATCGACCAAGGAGAGATAGGGCCCGATTTCTGCACAAAATGCAGAGAGCAGAATGCAATTTTAGCCACTGTCTATCACTATCATCCTCAGAATGTCACACAATTGTTGCCCGCTCTTCATTCCTGTCGTATCGTCTGCTCTTACCTCCTGAGCGTATTCTTCACAAGTAGGCCCCACGGGAACCACCATGACCTGTCGAGGAGACAGCCAGAAAGGCCTGCCCAGAATAGAAACACAGACAAGATAGCAAACCTCCTTTCACACCCTGGGTCGATCACCAAAAATATACCTCTGATTAGACCATTTCTAGCCCAATCCTCAGCTCAAAAGACTTCGATATGAATAAGCCTAGGCCAGGGGTGTCGAACTCATTTGTTACGAGGGCTGGATCTGACATAAATGAGACCTTGTTGGGCCGGGCCATGTGTGTTACAAAATGTAACGCCAAGTAGCGGAGATATAAACTTTATAAAGGACACAAACACAGCGGGTTGGGGTTTTTTTACCTAAAATCATGCTTCAAACGTTAGCACTCTTGCAATATTTTGTTTATCTAACAGGGTCTGATACCTGACGCCTCTTGCTCTGAATTATTGCATCAAAATGTCTGTGCTATATGCTGTTCAGGTGTGTACCTGTAAGCTGCAAACCTATGAGGACGCAGCAGCAGCAGAACTGGAAGAAGAAGCAGAAGACAGCCAGTTCCACTGCGGGCCTGATAGAAGCCCTCCGGAGGCCTGATCCGGCTCCTGGGCCGCGTGTTTGACACCCCTGCCCTAGATCTTCTTAGGCCAGTGGAACAAAGACCAAGAACTTTGCCTTAACTGGGTGGCCCAAGAGGCTGTGTGAAGGTGAATATTTTCCCTTCCCCGCTATTTCATGCAAAACACTCATAAAATGCCGAAATATCCTCTTTTCCTCCTGCCCTGATAACCCTAACAGTCCACTTCAGGTGCTCAGGAGCAACAAGCAGTTCGACTGGAACTAAAGGAGCAGTTCCTAGGCAGACATGAAAGATAAAACCCACACGTGATGACCCCCGGCCTGAAAGACATCCGGCTTACCTCAACCAGAGGCAGGGTCTTTTCGGGCCTGGCCCCGACCTGGTGGAACTCTGTGACAAACAACATCCGTGCCCTGCGGGACCTAATGCAGTTCCGCAGGACCGGTGAGGCAAAGATGTTCCACCAGGCCTATGGCTGAGGACAGAGATGGGTACCATCTTGCCTATGGTTGCCACCCTCCAGGTAGGGCCTGGGGAACTCCTGCTTTTACAGCTGACCTCCAGCCGACAGAGATCAGCTCCCCTGGAGAAAATGGCTGCTCTGAAGGGTGGACTGTATGGCATTGGACCGTGCTGAGGCCCCTCCCCTCCCCAAGCTCCGCCCTCTCCCGGAGCCACCCCCAAAGTCTCCAGGTATTCTCCAACTCAGACCTGGCAACCCTATTCTTGCCTGGCACCAATGTTCCCTCTAAGGTGAGTTGGTGTGAGCTAGCTCACAGTTTTTTTAGCCTCCGGCTCACAGATTTTCATCTTCGCTCAGGAAGGAACATGGCTCCAGAGCAGACTGATTTACGCAGCAGCCAAATCGCTCGCTCACAACTTTAATGCCAGGAGCTTGGTCTTCAGAACATGGTTCCAAGCAGCCGGCCAGCAGACCCACCTTAGGTACACCCTTCCCCAGAATCCTTTCCTGTGGGAGTGCACCTTTCTTCCTCCCCCCCGGGGGGGGGGTTAACAGTATAATTTGATTATTTTTAGCACCATCTGAAATTGTTCTAACATTGTTTTGCTTTCAACTGTCTTACTGATTTATGAATACGTTCTTATATCATTGTCTACCGCCCTGAGCCTTGTGCATACAGGGGAGGGCGGTCTAAAAGTCCAATCTAAGAAATAATAATAATAAACACCAAACAGTTCCCCATTTACTGTACACCCCAACTCACCACTTCCCACCGTAATTTTCAGCTAGGATGGCTATCATCCGCTCCACGGAGCCCAGAATAGCTCGGTGGACGATCACCGGCCGTTTCTTGTCGTCGCCATCCTTGCTGCGAAAGAGAAAAACAATGCGCTATATTGGATGCGTTGTATTGGAAGGGTATCCCTAGATACTTAAAATGTCTACCCTGCTCTAATACTATTTCTGTTGAACTCCCGTCTAAGTAATATCCAAGTTCTTGAAAAAACAAGGATTTTTGAGTTTTCGCAATTTAATTGGAGCTTATTAGATGCAAAGTATTCAAAGCATCTATTCAGAAGACGCTTCAGACCCACTCGAGGAGGAGGAGGAGATTGGATTTATACCCCGCCCTTCACTCAGAGTCACAGAGCAGCTTACAGTCTCCTTTCCCTTCCCCTCCCCACAACAGACACCCTGTGAGGCAGGTGGGGCTACGAGAGCTCTTTCAAGGACTGCTCTTGAGAGAACGGCTCTGAGAGAACTGTGACTGACCCAAGGTCACCCAGCAGCTGCATGTGGAGGAGTGGGGAATCAAACCCGGCTCTCCCACACTACAGTCCACGCTCCTAACCACTACACGAAATGAGCAGGACATTAATAGTGTGTCATCGGCATAAAGTAATGGGGATACATGTATAGAACCGAGTTTAGCACTATAGACAGTGTTCCCTCTAAGCTAAGTTAGTGTGAGCTAGCTCATAGTTTTTTAGCCTCCGGCTCTCACATTTTTCCCTTCGCTCAGGAAGGCCGGCTCCAGAGCAAACACATTGATGCAGTAGCCAAATCGCTCGCTCACAATTTTTATGCCAGTCGCTCATAAAGTAGCATTTTTGCTCACAAGACTCCACAGCTCAGAGAGAGCATCGGCTACGGCCATCAGCTCCAGACAAAGGTGGTGCAAAATCATTAAGAAAAAAATTAAATAACGAGGGAGCTAAAAGGTTAACCCTGTTTAACTCCTTTATTAGTTGGAATTCTGGGGGTTAACTTTCCAGCCAGGGAGCCTTTAACCTGACAGGTCGTAAAAGCATGCCATTTCCTGATGAGCAAAAGAAATCTCTTATCAATAAGATACAGTGATGACTTGATGTGATATTTAAATTTTCACTGTATGAGTTTTTCCTCCTTTTCCCTCTTATTCTAACAAAGATGCAATCTGTCTTGGTTTATTCCGTATGCCATTAAAGGTTCGATTTGGACTTGGGTTTCAATTCATAGAAGTCGCGCGGCTGAGATTCGCACCCGGGCACTCATTTCGCAAACTTACCCAACGTAAGAAAGATTAAATCGGATGGGTAGCTGGAAGTCGAGTTGTATAGTCGCGCACTGATGGTAGCGGCCAATGGCGTCCCTGATTGTAATATCGATCTGCAAATGACCGTAGGACCCAATAAATGCCCTTGTTTGAAAACCTGTAATACCTTTTTAAAGACATTCGTGCCGCGGCACAAAAAGATTTACCAACCTTGGGACCATAAAATGCTCCGTCTCCTGTATTTAGCTTCCAGGGCTCCCCGAAGTCATCCAAGCTGTTTTGGAGTTGCTAAAAAGTTTGTTATAGGAATAAAAACGCAACATGAACTTATGTAGGCACAGCCACAGTAAGTATGTCTTTGCATTTATTCATTCATTCATTCATGCACGCTCACAAGTATTTATATCATGTTGCCAGTTTGGTGTCGTGGTGTAGGGAGGGGAAGAGAAAGGAGTTTGTAAGCCGCTCTGAGACACCTTTGGGTAGTGAAGGGCGGGGTATAAATCCAATCTCTTCTCTTCTTCTTCTTCAAGGGCAGTTCTCGAGAGAGCTCTCTCAGCCCCACCTACCTCGCAGGGTGTCTGTTGTGGGGAGGGGAAGGGACAGGAGTTTGTAAGCCGCTCTGAGAGACCTTTGGGTAGTGAAGGGCGGGGTATTAATCCAGTCTCTTCTTCTTTTACCTCACAGGGTGTCTGTTGTGGGGAGGGGAAGGGGAAGGAGTTTGTAAGCCGCTCTGAGAGACCACTGGGTAGTGAAGGGTGGGGTATAAATCCAATCTCTTCTTCTTCTTCTCCCCCCCCCCCCGTTTGGACTCAAAGTGGCTTCCAGAACACTGTCCCCCTCTCCTCTGTTTTCTCACAACAGCCCCCTGAGGCAGGCCAGGCTGAGAGTTTGAGACGGGCCCAAGGTCACCCAGAGAGCATCCGATGGTAGAAGTGAGGATTCGAACCCCAAACACCCAGCGTTCTGAGCCCACCACACCACGCTGGCTCCTTCTAAATTGTAAAGCGAGTCCAGTGGACTAGAGAAGTGAATTTTAGTCAATTTATTTGATTAAAACCACGCCGCTCGTTTTTCTTTCCTCACAGGAAAATACAACACATTTCCGTTCCACAATTTAAAGCCGTCCCTAAAGGTTTTACATTTCAAACTGACTTGCTTTAGAATAGGCCAGGACTTGCCCGTCAAGCAAGTAGCCTAAGCATCCCAGATGTTTTAAACTTACTAAAAGCCTACTCCAAAACTTACAGAGACAAACAGAGGTGGTTCAACATTGCCTGCCTCTGCATAGCAACCCTGGGCTTCCTTGGTGGCCTCCCAGCCAAATGCTAACCGGGGCTGACCCTGCTTAGGTTCTGAGATCTGACGAGATCAGGCTAGCCTGGGCTATCCAGGTCAAGGCAAGAGACAAACAGAGGTGGATCTCCATCGCCTGCCTCTGCACAGCAACCCTGATCTTCCTTGGAGATCTCTCATCCAAGTACTATCCAGGGCTGACCCTGCTTACCTTCTGAGATCTGACAAGACCGGGCTAGCCTCGGCCTTCCAGGTCAGGGCTATCGAGCTCTACAAGTACCAAAGCTGCTGAACGCATCAAGCATCCAGACTGGCATCATCTCACCTTGAGACAACTTCAACTTTTGTTGGATCCAGCTCATTCAAAAAGGCACCAGATGTCCATCTTGCCTCCCCTGCTCACAGAAGCACTGACAACAACCTCCATTTCCGGACACAGAACCCTTCCAAACAATTTTTGGCCTCCCCGAGGACTGGAGTGTTACATCTCTTCCGAAGTTACCTTCTCCGCCTGGTCCCAGATCGCCTTTTCTCCGAGGAAGTTCTCAGGCCTCGTAGAGAGATGCAGTTGAAAGGTGAAGCCGAAGACGGCGTACACGGACTGCAAGAAGTCCAGGCAACCTTTGACCAGTGGACTAGAGAAGTGAATTTTAGTCCATTTATTTGATTAAAACCACGCCGCTCGTATTTCTTTCTTCACAGGAAAATACAACGCATTTCCGTTCTTTAATCTAAAGCCGTCCCTAAAGGTTTTACATTTCAAACTGACTTGCTTTAGAATATGCCAGGACTTGCCCGTGAAGCAAGTAGCCTAAGCATCACAGATGTTTTAAACTTACTAAAAGCCTACTCCAAAACTTACATTTCCATCAGTTATCATGGGAACGACCTAACTCTGCAAGTGGTAGAGGAAAGTGGCATTGAGTTGCAACCGGCTTATGGCGACTCCTCATGGGGTCTTCGAGGCAAGAGACGAACGGAGGTTGCGCCTTCGCCTGCCTCTGCCTAGTGACCCTGGACTTCCAGGGCTGACCCTGCTTAGCGTCTGAGATCTGGCTAGCCTGGGCTATCCAAGTCAACGCAGAGACAAACAGAGGTGGTTTGCCACTGCCTGCCTCTGCGTAGCAACCCCGAACTTCCTTGGTGGTCTCCCATCTAAATACTATCCAGGGCTGACCCTGCTTAGCTTCTGAGATCAGATCAGGCTAACCTGGCCTATCCAGGTCAGTGCAGAGACAAACAGAGGTAGTTCAACATTGCCTACCTCTGCATAGCAACCCTGGGCTTTCTTGGTGGCCTCCCAGCCAAATACTATCCAGGGCTAACCCTGCTTAGCTTCTGAGATCTGACGAGATCAGGCTAACCTGGCCTATCCAGGTCAGTGCAGAGACAAACAGAGGTGGTTCAACATTGCCTACCTCTGCATAGCAACCCTAGGCTTCCTTGGTGGCCTCCCAGCCAAATGCTAACTGGGGCTGACCCTGCTTAGGTTCTGAGATCTGACCATATCAGGCTAGCCTGGCCTATCCAGGTCAGTGCAGAGACAAACAGAGGTGGTTCAACATTGCCAGCCTCTGCATAGCAACCCTGGGCTTCCTTGGTGATCTGTCATCCAAATACTATCCAGCGCTGACCCTGCTTAGCTTCTGAAATCTGACCAGATCAGGCTAACCTGGGCTATCCAGGTCAAGGCAGAGACAAACAGAGGTGGATCTCCATCGCCTGCCTCTGTGCAGCAACCTCGGACTTCCTTGGAGATCTCTCATCCAAGTACTATCCAGGGCTGACCCTGCTTACCTTCTGAGATCTGACGAGACCGGATTAGCCTCGGCCTTCCAGGTCAGGGCTATCAAGCTCTACAAGCACCAAAGCTGCTGAACGCATCAAGCATCCAGACTGTTCCACAGTCACTCTGTAAGGTGATCCGCCTAATGTGTTTGGCATCATCTCACCTTGAGACTCATTCAACTTTTGTTGGATCCAGCTCATTCAAAAAGGCGCCAGATGTCCATCTTGCCTCCCCTGCTCACAGAAGCACTGACAACAACCTCCAATTCCAGACACAGGACCCTTCCAAACAATTTTGGCCTCCCCGAGGACTGGAGTGTTACATCCCTTCCGACGTTACCTTCTCCGCCTGGTCCCAGATCGCCTTTTCTCCGAGGAAGTTCTCAGGCCTCGTAGAGAGATGCAGTTGAAAGGTAAAGCCGAAGACGGCGTACACGGACTGCAAGAAGTCCAGGCAACCTTTGATCTCTTCTTCGATCTGCAGTTTTGAAGGAAAGAGACGCTGAGGCCAGAAATCTCTATCCTGCTCCCCTCCACCACTTTGGTAAGTCAGGTACACTCATGAAGCTGCCTTATATAGAATCAGACCACTGTCAGTATTGTCTATTCTGACTGGCAGCCGCTCTCCAGGGTCTCAGGCTCGTCTCCTGCCTGGTCCTTTTAACTGGAGATGCCGGGGATTGAACCTGGGACCTTCTACATGCCCAGCAGAGGCTCTGCCACTGAGCCACAGCCCCTCTTTGCAGCTCTCCAGGGTCTCAGGCAGAGGTCTTTCACATCAACTCCTGCCTGGTCCTTTTGACTGGAGATGCCGGGGATTGAACATAGGACCTTCTGCATGCCAAGCAGAGGCTCTGCCACTGAGCCATGGCCCCTCTTTGCAGCTCTCCGGGGTCTCAGGCGGAGGTCTTCCACATCACCCACTGCCTGGTCCTTTCAACTGGAGATGCCGGGGATTGAACCTGGGACACTCTGCACGCAGGGCAGATGCTCTGCCACTGAGCCACAGTTTGACTGGAGATGCCGGGGATTGAACCTGGGACGTTCTGCATGCTCAGCAGAGGCTCTGCCACTGAGCCACAGCCCCTCTTTACAGCTCTCCAGGGTCTCAGGTGGAGGTCTTTCCCATCACCTCCCACCTTGCCCTTTCAACTGGAGATGCCAGGGATTGAACATGGGACCTTCTGCATGCCAAGCAGATGTTCTGCCGCTGAGCCACGGCCCCTCCTTACAGCTTTCCAGGGTCTCAGGCCGAGGTCTTTCACATCACCTCCTGCCTGGTCCTTTTAACTGGAGATGCCAGGGATTGAACCTGGGACCTTTGGCATGCCAAGTAGATGCTCTACCACTGAGCCACAGCCCCTCCCCTATTATACATAAACATACGAAGCTGCCTTATACTGAATCAGACCCTTGGTCCATCAGACCCTTGGTCTACTCAGACTGGCAGCGGCTCTCCAGGGTCTCTGGCCAAAGTCTTTCACGTCACCCACTAACTGATCCTTTTAGCTTGAGATGCCGGGGATTGAACCTGGGACCTTCGGCATGCCAAACAGAGGCTCCACTGTTGAGCCACGGCCCTTCCCCAAAGCACCCATCCTTTAAAGCAATCTCCGCTCCACCTCTTTACCTGCTCCATGGCACAAAAGATATGGGCGTCGTCTTGCTGGAAGCGCCTAACGCGAGTCAAACCACTCAGCGTCCCCGAGAGCTCATTCCGGTGGAGAACGCCAAAGTCCGCCAATCTCAAAGGCATTTCCCTCCAGGATCGGGGCCGGTGAGCAAACATCAAGCTAGGAGAGGAGTGAAACCGTTTATTAATGCAACTAACTCACACACCTGCCGGGTGTCTCAAAATTAAAAAAAACCAGCCCAAAGGCTTAGGAGGCTGTACAACACTGATGTTGGAGTCTCCTGGATATAATGGTCAAGGGATTGTTGTTGTTATTTACCACATTTGCACACCATCTTTCTATCCCCTGAGATAGATCAAGATGGGTAGCCATGTTAGTTCATCTGTAGCAGAAGAAAAGAGTCAGAGTCCAGGAGCACCTTAAAGACTAACAAAATTTGTGGCAGGGGAAGAGCTTTCGTGAGTCATGGCTTCCCGCTTCAGATACAGCTAGACAAAGGCTTAGGAGGCTGTACAACACTGACGTTGGAGCCTCCTGGGTATAATGGTCAAGGGACTGTTGTTGTTATTTACCAAATCTGCACACCATCTTTCTATCCACTGAGATAGATCAAGATGGGTTAGTTTATCTGTAGCAGTAGAGAAGAGCCAGAGTCCAGGAGCACCTTCAAGACTAACAAAATTCGTGGCAGGGGAGGAGCGTTCGTGAGTCACGGCTCCCTGCTTCAGATACAGCTAGAAAGTGAGTCCATCTGTCCTATATATTGGAAAGTGGAGTGATTTCAGATGCCAAATAATACTAGCAGGCAAATTACAATAGGAGGTGTGATTGGATCAGGTGTGATATGCAGAGGAAGTAGCAGGCGAGGACAAATCAGTCTTGGTAATGAGACAGCAAGCCTAGGTCTCCATTCAGTCCCGGTGGATGCGTTGTCTTGAGCTTCATTATCAGAGGCTGCTGAACTGCAACTGATAAGGAAGCGTGAGACGATGCAACATCCTGGACTGAATTGAGATCTAGGTTTCCTGTCTCATTATCAATGCTGATTTCTCCACGCCTACTACCCCTCTGCGTATCACACCTAATCCAATCACACCTGCTATTGTCATTCACCTGCTACTGTCATTCGGCATCTGAAATCACTCCACTTTCCAATATATAAGGACAGATGGACTTCCATTCTAGCTGTATCTGAAGAAGTGAGCAGCGAGTCATGAAAGCTCCTACCTTGCCACATATTTTGTTAGTCTTTAAGGTGCTACTGGACTCTTTCTCATTTCTTGCCAGTTTGGTGTAGTGGTTAAGTGCGCGGACTCTAATCTGGGAGAACCGGGTTTGATTCCCCACTCCTCCACTTGCACCTGCTGGATGACCTTGGACAAGTCATACTTCTGATAAGAGCTGTCCTTGAAAAAGAGCAGTTTGTGTCAGAGCTCTCTCAGTCCCACCTGCCTCACAAGGGTGTCTGTTGTGGGGAGGGGAAGGGAAAGGAGTTTGAAGCCGCTCTGAGATTCCTTTGGGTAGTGAAGGGCGGGGGATAAATCCAATATCTTCTTCTTCTTCTGTCCACTGAAGGCCACCAAGGTTGGCCAAGAGTTTGAGTGAACAAGAGACAAAACAGAGGAGAGCATCAGAAGATTACCTTAGTGGTTGGATAGGTTCATATGGGCAGGGAGGTCAGCCAAGAAGAACATTCAACTGCCCACTCCCGGAAGCACGGAGCAGAGGTCAGCAGAAGGAGAGAGTTGGGTGCTATAAGCCCTGTCCCCTTCCAAGCTAAAGCTCTGGAGCTAGACAGGCCAAGACCAAGTATCAGCTCCGTCCTGCAGGGGACGATTTGTCGGCGTTGGATAACCCCCCACAGCTGGTGAAATCCAGGCAAAAATGCAGTTTTGTATACGTGTGTGTGTGTGTGTGTGTATATATAAAATTAACTCAAGTTTTATTAGCTGTTGAAACCTATTTGCCATAATAATAAGAAACAAATCTTAACAAAGAAGTACAGAAAATAAGCATGAAAAGATCTCAGTGGGGAATGTTTTCTTCCAGTCTTCTTCCAGTCATGATCTCTAGCCTTTGCAATTCCTCAAGGCTTATTTCGAGAACCAGATATAACTGGATTCAGAGAACAATGTAATTTTGCAACAACAACAACAAAATGCAGGAGCTGCTGAGGCTACGCTTTGCATGCATTCTCCACCAGCCAAATGGAATCCCAGAAATTACTGGAGCTGGAGTTAATCCAAAACTGTCTGCCCGGCTCACTGTACTAGCAACTATTATAGCATGCAAAAAGTGGGACCTGCGATACTCGCGCGCGGGGGGGGGAGTATTCCTAAAGGCTCTGCACTGAGGAGGAAGCAGCTGCAGGTAAGCCTCCCCCCCCCGGCACCGGCAGCGAGGCCTGAGCGCCTCCCAACTGCTGGACCCACCGCAGAGTTCCCAGAACGTTCTCTATGCATGTGCAGGGAACACTGTTTTACTTTTGGGGGAGATTTAACTGTCCCCCATATATTTTTTTAAACTTTTCAGATTTTTCTGCACACCTGGGGACTGCCCCAAGTGTGCAGGAAAATCTCTCTGCCCCCCCCCCAAGTGCCCCCGATGTGTGGATTTAGATATCCGCACAGAGGAGGCCTCTTGGCTATTAGTATACAGATAAATTAAGAGTTTCTGAACTGAGATTTCAGTAGGAAAATGGATCCACACCTTGCACTCAAGCATGAAAAAGTCTATGTATCCCATTTTCTATTTTCTTTTCTTTTTAACAGACTGAATGGTTTACATAAATAATTACATAAATAGTTAGTGATTTAAAAACAAAGCACAAACCAGTGTCCCGGGCAGTTCATGGGCTTAAGAGCAAACGTTTCCTTCTCGGACTCAAACGAGAACATGTTTTCACTGTAGTGTTGCCAGTGGCCGGAGACTTCCCAAAGTTTGCTATTGTAGATATTGGGAGAAAGCACTTCCGTGAAGTCACGCCGGTGATATTCCTCCTGCACAAGTGAAATCGACTCATGAGTGTGTGATACAAGGGGCGCTTTCACACTTAGCAACAATTGCTCTTGACAGGCTCAAAAATACTTCTCGCTCAAATGCAAAAGTGTACCCACTGCGAGCAGAAAAAGGTCGCTCAAATGCAAAAGTGTACCCACTGCAAGCAGAAAGAGGCCTGGGACCAGTGTTCCCTCTAAGCTGAGTGTGAGCTAGCTCAGTTTTTTAACCTCCAGCTCACAGATTTTTGTCCCAGCTCAGGAAGGACGGCTCCAGAGCAAACTAACTGATGCAGTAGCCAAATCGCTCGCTCATAACTTCAATGCCAGTAGCTCACGAAGTAGAATTTTTGCTCACAAGACTCCACAGCTTAGAGGGAACACAGACCACCACCTTCCTAGAACAGACTAACAATGCAATCCTAGAACAAAGCTTGAGTCCAGGGGCACCTTTAAGATCAACAAAGTTTTATTCAAGACGTGAGCTTTTGTGTGCAAAACACACTTCCTCAGACACACTGAAAAGGAAGTTATTGATGCATAAGGTCTAACACTCACTTTAATTACTTGTATTTATTAACTTCTATGACCAAAGGTCTTAAGCCTACCTGAGGGACCGCCTTTCCCCGTATGTTCCCCCAAGAGCACTATGGTCTGGGGCCCAAAACCAAGTTTACAGTCGAAGTAATCAAGTCTAAGAGACCTAAAATGTTAAAACAGGAGTAATTAGTTAAACTATCATTCATTTAAATATCCATTTAAATCATAATAACTGGGTGCATGCCAAATTCTGTTAAGTTGGGTCAAGCTTTTTTGTTGCTTTACAGACAAAACTATCATTAAAAATTTAGTGACGGAATAAGTGGTTTCAGGATTAGTATCTGCCAACAGATAGGGGACCACTCAGAGTTCAGTAGGTAATTGGTGTTTGGTAAGAACTGGAGTGATCCAAATCGATCTAGGAGTCAACCACTGATGATAATAGAAGATGGCCAAGGGTTTCCACAGCTCCAGTCGCACAGTTGTATAAGCGATCCGAGCACGGGACTTTAGAAAAGCAACCTGTTAACTCAGCAGTGGGAAAAGACTTACGCCTAGCAAGAGTGAAAACACGTCTATAACTAGGTAGTTTTAGGGATCTAGTATATGGAGGAATACTCACTTTAATAAAACTGATGAGCGTACTGTAAATAAAGGCACCTCTGGGAAGGAAGAAACAGCTTCCGGGACTGAGATCATGAAAGAAAAAGAGTTCTTGTTCCTGGATTGAAAGAAATTGGGAATTAAAAGAAGGAAACGTTGAGTCGGCGATTCTTGTTTTGCACAGTCACGTCACACATGCATCAAAATTCACCTGCAGCCGGTTTTCCTATAAAGGACTCCAGCAGGGATGGAGACAGGCGCCCTTGTGTTGCCCTGCTACTATTTTCCCCACGATGCTCCCTGAAATAGCAGTCGTGCTCAGAGGCAAGTGTGCAGAGAGAATTATAGAATCATAGAGAGTTGGAAGGGACCTCCAGGGTCATCTAGTCCAACCCCCTGCACGAGGCAGGAAATTCACAAATACCTCCCCCTCCACACACACCCCGAGTGTCCAGAAGACAGCAAAAAACCCTCCCGGATGTCCGGCCAAACTGGCCTGGAGAAAAATTGCTGCTTGAATCCAAAGTGGAGATCAGCATTTCTCTGGGCGT